TCCGATACACATGAATTTCACGAAAGCCTTTGACTAACAGAACGGTCACCTGCCTTTATTAAAGGTTTTTCATTAATGGTTAATTAGGTCTCGAAAAACCCGAAAACCTTTAATTCCGTTCAGTAGTAAAAAGGAGCAAGCTTAAACTGTTGCTCTTTAATTTCTACAGAAATTAATTGCTAACTTTGAATAAGGCAGTATATACGACGGTTTGTGGGGGCAGACAGAAAGCTAATATTGCTATTCTGATCGAGGCCCATTAGACTCAGCGGGATAACCACGTAAAATTATTTCAATTGCAAACAGAGGTAAGAGAAACTGTATTTTAAGCGGAAAAACCGAGTGCATTCAGTTATAAAAAATTTTGTGACGCAAACTGGTGAGGTTTTGGACGATAAAATGCAGTTATACACTTGTGTGACAGCATTTAATTTTAACCTAGTGACACACAGTGAACCCGCAACATGTCGTCACTTTTAAGTATTACGCTGCATGTGTACGATGTCAACTCACTTCCTGTTGCACGTTGATTTTTGCACGTATCCGGAAAATTGCAGCCGAAGTGATGCTATGTGAGTTGTTAGGTAATATTTTAAATATTAGCTAGTTCAAATACTCGAGACTAACAGACAAAATAACAGTGTGATATATTAAACAAGATCTTGTCTAATATTACACAGTTATCGAAGGAGTGTGTCCATCGATGGACATACTCCTGCAGAAGAGAGCATAACGATAACTGTATTCGTCGTACACTAAAAAGTATAAGTATATGTCATTAAAGATCCTTCACAGCGAACATTTTTCAGGGCTATTTCTGCACAATATTCTAATAAATGACGGATTTTGGCCACCATTAGCACTGTACTACTATATAGACATTTTAAGTAGAAACCTGACTACAGAGAATGTTTATTTCTTCAGAATTATTTTGATCACAGGCCTTTTTACTCAAAAGCTCACTGCCATCTATGAGGAGACCTTATTTTTAGATTATCTTCCCAATCGGCCCACGTGCGAAGTTGCGGTAAGAACCTCCACCGCGAACACACTGTCGACAGTAACTTTCATGAACTGTCAAGGCATCAAAGTAATAGAGCGGGCAATATGGCTGTCGAAAACGAGGCTCAGTAAAACAAGGTGTTCATTGACACCGTATAGGATGCCTCAGCTTATAACGGCATTCAACGACATTGAATGGACATTATTTTGCAAGACAGTACTCCTGTTCATGGATCAAAGGCAAAGTGCATCTAATTAAACTCCCGGCTATTATTTCCTCTTTTTTTATCACAAACAGCCTTTCAGCCCGCGAGCTGCGAAGTTTATTTATTCAGGTCAACTGTACGGAATTCCATGCCCAATCCTTAACGCTCTTCGCGTGTACCGAAAGCAATTTTTATCAGCCCAGAAAATACTGGTTAATACGAAACACCGCATTTTATGCTTACTAATTTCAGAAAATAGTCCATCCTGGATTACCGTATAAATTTTTGTTAGTCCAAATTACGTCACCAATTAGATACGACATCATTGCACTGGAAAATCCATGGTGGTAGGCTATGAAATATTGAAAATTGAAGAATTGGTAGTAGTCTGAAGTAACGCACGATAATTACTCTACTGCAGTTAGGCTTTAAGCACGCAGCATGAGCTGCTTTTGCGTTTCAGAGACATGCTTCTTAAAAAATCCTCGGATGCCATGAGCTAAAACATCTACTGCAGATCACTAAAGTTAACATAAAAGAAATGCGGAATTATTTTTCTAAAGTCTTGCTTGAAGATCAGCCGATAAACGCTAGTATACTAAGAAGAATCCGGATAGTACCAGCAACCCCTACCAAAGTACGCATATTTTGCAGAAAACCCGTACTAGTTATCAGATATCGGTCCAAATCGTCCCATGTGTCATTTCTTCCACAGCGAATATATTCAGATAAATCTGTTTCCATGTGTACTCCAGAGTCTGCAAAACTAACACTATCATTTCAGATTGGCACGCCCCGAGGTTTTTCTGCATCCACGGCATGCAGACACGTCCAAACGTTCATTCTCCAATATATTCACAGACTAGCATTGACAAAACAATAATAGAGTTTTCAAAGGGTCATTTTGAAGCTCATATAGTAGAATAACTTTAACTAGCAAATACAAAACGCATAGGTTTCATCTATTGGGTATTGCTTTGATATATTTAGCCCTGCTGGTCTTCCAAGATAAACACCCGGGCATGGGTACATTCCCCCTGCTTCTCTTTGGCAAACAGATAAGTAGTACAAACTCAGTTGCAACTGTTGGCCGTAACGACCTTTATATCTTTCCATAAAAAATTCGATAAATGTCAGTTAAGTAACGTTTTTTCTCATATGATGAATACCAATTTCGAGAATATTGTGCGCGAAACTCTTTTGCGAACGGTTCTTACCGTGGTGATTATTATACTGACTTTAATATTCACTGGACTTTACTCAGAAGTTCGGTGAAATATGCCGCAAGAATTCGAATTGGATTTTCTAGCAGTAGATACAAGTGATTATTGCCATAATGCTAACAAAAAGAATAGGGGAAAGTGGCACGCAATTTCGGTCTCAATAGTTTTATCAGTGAGCTATACGGTTCACCCTATGTGCCGTGACATCCGAGATTTCCGTTTAGTAAATAAAGCAGAAATGGCCACTACAGCGTTGCCGTAACACGTAAAGGTGATAGATTCGTCCAGCTTCATGATAATAAGGAGACTCTATATATCCAACAAACGGAAGCTTCAATTTAAGTCCTCTCGCTAGAAAATAAGCATGTTTTATTAGCATGTTTTTGGGACATAGTTCGTTTTAACCTCTGTCAGAACATAAGGTATTTATCATGCAAACTGCCGCCTTTCAAGTGATTTGACTGAAGTTGCCGGTAGTGCAAACATCAGCGCCAATAGAAACAAATATGTGCGGTCAAATGAATTGTTCAGAAAAAGAAGATGTGAGCACTGGAATAAGAATTTTATTTTCCTGGCGTTTCAGATTCTATAGAGAATCCTTAATCATAGATCCCAATCCGTGCATGTCTCACATCCTTCTACAGTCAGCTATGATTAAGGATCTCTGACAGAATCTGAAACGTCAGGAAAATTAAATTCTTGGTCCATTGATTGCATCTTCTTCTTTTGAACAAATATGAATATTAGCTGTATAATCATCCCTTGATGGTAGTTGTTTATAAAGACTGTTTTTGTGCTATCTGCCAGTGGAAGTACTCGGACCCAAATACGCGCTTTCTCTGCAGTCAAGAAAAATAAATATTTTCATAATCATGAAGGATGACGTTTGCTGCGGCTGTATGACGGTGTCTCGGTCGGCATCTGCGTGTAAAAGTGAAAATAATGAAACAGATTCTGATGCACGTAAATAACTGCAATTTTTAACATTATCCACCGAGTAATGGTGACATATTCAATTTGAATGAATCTGGGTGTGGACGCGGTGAATGACAAAGCTAATCAGATCATTTACTGGCACCGGAAACGATCTATTACCTACTCCACCCAGTCTACTCATCAGTTACTTGACAGTCACGTACAGCCAAGTTGCACAGAGAGTGAAGCCGATACTGGAGGGGGTGTTTATCCTTACGTCAATTTAACCAATCCATCATTATAATAAATCTGACATGCCTAACCCTATGAAGGCGCGCCATCAGTCGAGGCTTAAGCTTGTGCTAGCTGATGCGTGTAATCGTACTCTTCACATCCATGCCACAGGTCCTTGCTATCGAAAATATCCGGGACCTTCTACGACAGAATTACGAGGAGAGAGAAGGTCAGCCCACAACTCAAGACCTCATAGAACTCACGGAGCACTGCCTCAAGCCTTTCTATACCTTCGAAAAGACCAAATATGAGCAAAGCAACGGCACACAACTGGAATTCCTAATCTTTAAGCTCATTGCCGAGGTGGTACTACAAAAAATCGAGAGACGACAGTTCGAAGAGTACGAGCCCAAATTTTGGGCACGCTATGTGGACGACACCTTCGTTTTCATCAAGCAGAATAGAATTAACAACAACAAAGACCGATTAAAGTCGATTTTTCCTGATCTGCAGTTCACAATGGAAGAAGTGGAAGGCAGAATTCCATTCTTGGTCGCTCTCGTCTGCCGCCAACCGGGCGGAAAAATGGCAACGTCTATCTATCGTAGACCGATAAACCCTTCACAAATATTGAGTAACAATAGCAACCACCTGCCGCAACACAAGCGAGGTTGTATAAGTACGCTATACTGATGGATGGAAACCCACGACAGCACGCCAGCCGCCAAACGAGACGAAGTAAAGGTTCTCCGGGAGCTTTTCAGAGCTAAAGACTATCCACTAGCGTTCACTGAACGAAATCGTATGCATCCAAGAATGCGGACAGAGGAGCGTTGCCCACTGAAGTCGTGGCGGAGCATTCTGTACATGAAAGGGGTCTCCGAAACCGTGGCTAGATCATTTGCACCTCTCGGAATCGGAGTGGCCCACAGGCCTGCCGCCTCAATCCGGCAACAAGTAATGCGGCCGAAAGAACCTAGCCGGAAACAAGAAAAATCAGGCGTTTTCTACCGTCTTCAGTGCAGTTGCATGAGGTGCAACTACGTTGGAGAAAGCGGCCGGCAGATACAAACGCGAATGCATGAGCATCAGCTGACGGTAAGAAGGCTGGACCTGACGTCGGAGGCAGCAACCCATACTGTTAGAGATAGGGCACGTCTTCAAATTTGCCGCCGTCGAAATTGTGTACTGAGGTGACAATCACACGTCAAGGCAGATTAGAGAAGCCTGGATGTCAACCGACTGTTCGGTAAACCGCAACCTATATTTGCCGGCCCCCTATGTTATATTAAGAGCACTCTTATCGGGGGAAAGTCACTATGCGCAAAATTCGGGGCTGGCAACCAGCGATACGGTAAACCTGCGTATTTAAGAGACAGGCTATGGTGAAACGCGGGGGAGTGGGGGCGACGCGACACAAATGACCAGCGTGCAGGGAGACCAAATAGCCACTGACGCCCCGATTGCAGACAATGTCAACGCAGAGCAGAACGTGGGTGACGGTTACGAGGCTGTTGGTGCGGCGTGCGGTTACCACCTAGAGACGCGAGCCACGCAGAGCGGCTCAAACTGGATTGGTAGACTACGCGCGCGGAAGAAATCAGCGGCATCTGGCGAGAGTCAGGAGCCAGAGTATTCACCCTCTGAGGATGGATAGACGAGACAACTATCCGAAAAGTCAAATAAAAAATAAACCTTCTCCTTCTGATAATTATATTATTGAAGAAAGTATGTCTTTCAGTTTACAAAGTTTACAATTATGAAACTCCTCAGGCCATGAAATATACAATCATACTGCATCGTATGTGTAGGGTTTTCATCTTTCGTATGAAAAATGCAACAGAGTTCACATCAATTGCAAATTTTTGCATGTAGTTTTTAAGCCTAAATGTAAGTACAATACCAGGTCGGACGTGACTGTTATAACTCCACGTAGGAAATTCTTTTTAGTAGAAAAACGCAAATACACTTGCTCAGCAATTCGTGAAATTTGCATACATATGTACGCAAGAAGCTGCCTAGTACTAGGCATAATGTGGTCATGTATTCGTTCATCGTCATTCTTAATTGCTAATCATTTTTTTATTTAATACTAATTTTTGGAATTCTGAACACTAAGATCCCAACTGTATACGGGTTCTGTACGCCATATAAAAAGTAAGCAGGTCATTAATGCTAGCCATCGCTTAAGGTACGCGGACGTTTAAGGAGGAACCAAAACAGATTCAAAATTATTTTGTATACCGTAATACATGAACTATTGAGCGAATTCTTAGATTTGGGGTCTCGCATGATACAGTAATTTACAATGGGAGGTTCTTGTATCACATGAAATTAAAATATTCTTGGAAGATCAATACCGAACTTCTCTATGATCTACATGCATTTTTCGTTTCCATAACACAGCGTTGATCCTTTGATATGGATGGGTGAAAACAATTTTTCATTTTAAAGATAGTGCGTCTTCTGATACCTTGCAGTTGTGTAACATAATTTCATTCGAGAATCCTTCATAGTTGTTTGATTGCAGCCTCCAGGTAATATTTTAATCATTATTTTCTTATCTGGTTGATGGTTTTTCAACAAGCTCTCTTGTTCAAGAAACATTAACTCGTTTGTTTTAGACAACATGTGCCAATTTAATCAAATAATAAGACGTGCATCAACATGCGTCATGATTTGGCGAAAGATAACGGATAATGTTTTTTTTAAGTAGAAAGGCTTTACTCTCTGAAAAAATATTTACAGACATGAATTCCTGCATTCAAATGTCACAGATTTTTTCGAATTATGTACTGCGTATAAAGGACATTATCCTGTAGGTCTCATAACGTGACTGGAAATAGCTTCTCCATCTTTAATCATCTATTCACTGAAGTATCATAAATAGAAGGCTGTCAAAAATAGCGGTGAACATAAGACTGAGAATCCAACCCTGTCTAACTGATTGCGCACAGTTTTTTATGAGTCAAAGGATAACTAGTATATGAAATCCGCGCACATGCTAAAGACACATGACGCAAACAGTACTAGCCTCCGTGCTGCACTGGAGAATGTGGTTGATGTTTTCATCCCACAATATCGTGTCTATTTAAACAAACTTTCGGTCATTTAACCTGAACACGCTTGAGCTTTTCGTACCAGTTATGTTCTTCATCAGGCCAATAAAGAAACCCATATCTAACAGCGCTTCGGGTTACTAGGCTTAAGGCTATGAAGTGTTTCCCGTAAGTCATTGATAGGTATGGATGAAACCAGTGTGTTCCTATTTTCTACATGCAAATGAGTTCGCACAGTAATAATACTTGACACAGTCAACGAGAGCCGCGAAACCACTTGGTCGAACATTTTCAAAAGTTGTTTTGGGGAGAAGAAAACATGACACCTCGAAGTGTACCCACAAATTTTCTGTTCGGTAATTTGTAAATCTAGGATTAAACTTCGTCATTTAAGTTCTCCTTCAGCGCAAACTGAATTTTTTTTGCCTACTGACATGGCTGACTCAACTGTAGAGGATTCCGCGGCCTCACTAGGATAGGAACCAACGAGAGCAAAGGAGAGCCTTGTTTAGGGCCAAAGCTCTCACCATGAGCCATGCGGTTAATCACAATTGGTTAAGGTTTTCCGGCAACGCTGCTGCAACGTTTAGAATCTACTAATTTTGATTCAACAAGCCGATTGTTCAGGCAGTGTTTCCTATGCAGTCAATCTTGAATCCAACAGATAACTGTCAGGCGCAATTACTTAATGAGGATTTGGACAGATTTAAATAAATCTTAAACTTAATAAGTAATGCAATCATATATTCCAATATCCTTCGAGCCGTCGAGTTTTAACGTCTTGATCAACTAATTTATTTTGTTTAAAAGTGCTGCCTAGCTCCATTTAAATGCCAATTGTCTTAGGTCCAGATTAGGCGCAGTGGTGGATATGACGCAACAAATCCCCGAATTGCGAGTTGTACGATAGTCAACAGGCAATTACGGTCGTTTGCATCCTAAGCAGTCAGTCTAGAATCTACCAGATGATGACCGGACGCAAATAATTAAAAAGGGATTTCAGTAGATTTGAATAAATGATTTGATACAATTAAGAAAATCTAGTCGTCCTTGATGGAATCCGATCCCACAACAGAAAGCGCAAGGCTTGTGTTCAGTCAAAGGTCTAATACCTGAGCGGCAAGGCTCGGATTGGGAGCCGGAAGTAGAAGCACGTTTGGGTCGTGGTCTCATAGTTCAGGTGATTGGAGCGCTCGATGTACACAAACCTTGCCCTTACTGTCATGGATTCAGCTGCGGTCGCAGCCGCTGGGTTTTTTCAGAGTTCGGATACATGAACTATACAAATCTGTCAAAACACATGCTAGTTTTGTAAATGATGAACTACTCTTCCGGACAGTAATAACCAGAACTGTGCAGGCTACAGTAGTCGCCAAAGACCACGCAACGTTCATAACTTTGTAAAAGTTTGATCATCACTCGAATACCAGTGTGAATGCATTTAGGAAAACTTGCAAATAATAATGAACAGCACTAGGCATATTAAGTACTTAAAAGAACTAAAGGAAGTACTTAGTGTTTGTAAAGAAAAATAAAGTTTTGCTGATAATCCCGAGGTTCTGGAGACGTAAAAT